CTGTTTCATTCGCGTAGTTAGTTGATTTAGTTTTTACAGGTAATTACAGGGTGTTCTTAGAAGTCGGGTTAAGGAGTTGGAGTAACCCTTTCGTAATGGGGAAGCAATGCTAAGATATAATATTGGTAGTCGTTGCAACACCCGAGAAAGGGCCTATCAACCCCTCCTTTATCCGTCACAATGGTGGAAGCGCCGGGAAATATTTTGATTTTGATGAAAAAAGAGCAGTGTGGGTAGAAGTCTTGATAAAAACAAAATCATCAATATTTTGAGAAGGCATCCATTAATCAGGTGAGCGATTTTTTAAAATTTTTGATCCTCTCCTCCCCCATTGATGATACATGATGACAGTTGAAATTACCCCCAACGCCCCACAAAACTTACCGTATTTTTTTTTTTTTTTAATTTTGTTTATTAAATTGAGGTAAACAATAAATACACCTGATATCTTACCAGACCCTCCCCTCCCCCATGTGATATTTCGTGAATTTTGTCAACACCCTTATCACATACATATTTGTCTTGAAAGTGATAGGGTAGACGGGGCTTAAATCTCAGCGGGTAATAATTATTCATCTCATCTCAATAATAAGTAAAGCATAGAAAATTTTAGTGATGCTATCTTAAAGTAGAGGGAAACTGTGTAACCAGCCATCTCCTCAACTCTTACGACGCTATCAGAAAATCAACAGAAACGTGTCAATATTCATACTGAAAGTTGTTTTTCATTAATTGTTTTTTTTTTGTTTTGAGCTCTTGTATTTAGTTCATGATAACTGAACAGAATTTTTAGGTATACTTATTTGGTTTGTAAGGTGTATTGTTATTTTTAAGTTAAATTCAACCTTTTTTTCATAAAGTTCCTATAAAATGTTGGTAGGGTGAAAAAAGTCCACCCAAACCTTTACATTAGCTAAGGTGTAAGAAATAAAAAATAGTAAATAAAAAATGCAATTTCACAAGAGCTGAATTAAATTTATATTCGACTCTGCTGATAAATATATCTTTAGATATACCAGATCAAGGTTATATACAATAAAATCTTTGTGAAAAAATGCCACAATATAATTTGTATTTCACATTGGTAAAATAATGTAGGTATTATTTCGAAATATTCCTTCAATATAATAACGACCTAAGTATTGCTGGCCTCCCTTGGCTGTCTATTCTGCCCCACCTATGGGCAAAAATTTTTACTATTTACAAATAGTAAAAAAAATCTAATTTAATTAAATTAACTGTGAATTTTACTGAATACGTTGTGATAGTTTTTTGTTTGGTTTTTTTTATAGTTGCTTAAATATCATAATCATATATTTTTACTGGTAGTTAGAACTGCATTTTAACATTACTTGTATTCTGAGAGCAAAACTGTGATCTAATCTTACATGCATATCATCCAGAAGTTTGAAACCATTCTACAATTCCAAATTGAAAAATCTCTATAAGTGTGGTGGTACCAGTTATTATTACTAAAGCTTCTTTTCTCAAAATGCAAAAGTATTATAAATTTATTATAAAATATAAATTCTTTAAAAATATATTTGTTGTCTCAAAAAACAAAAAAATCTTGTGGATTGGTAATATCGCTACCAATTTTTATTCATACAGTTTTGTATTGGAAGCATTTATTCTTGAAGCGTATTTTTAAATTTAATTATAATGCTAAATTTTTTAAATAAATCTTGAACCAAAATATCGTTTTTATCTTGTTTTTTTTTTATTATTCGATTAGTCATTGAAGCTTCAACACGGATTTACAAAATGTGCTTTTGAAATTCTTTGTGAAGTAAAACTTCTTTAGGCGACTAGGGTGTAAATAAAAGAAAATGCAACGGAAGTGCGTTACTGCTTACTGATTCGTAATTGGCCAAAGAAGCCGTCATTCGAAACGGGTCAATGCGATTGGTTCTCATGTCTCGCTCTCGCATATGTATCATCTCGGCAACTATATGTGAATTACAAAATGTCAAATTTGTAATTTTGCTTCGTATCTCTGTAACAGCTGGACCTGTTCTCGTTAAAAACTAATAAGCACGTCTCCTCATCAGTAGGAATCGATTTTTTTATCATTGTAATCGGTTCATCTATGCGCCCGAAATCATAGACGAAATATTGTATCCAAATATATACCCACGCACTCACACATACATCCATTTTTCTAAGGTATGCCAAAATGTTCAGAAAACTTTAAAACGTAAAGATATGCAAAATTTTTATTTTCGATTTTCGGCTCAAGAACCATAAAGTTGATAAATTCTTTTTTAATAAATGAAATAAGCTTTGGAAGACTTCATCAAGAAATTATTAATAATCGGAAAATCACTTCAACAGCACATAATTACAAATATTAAAAAGCAGGTCTTCATGAAATAACTCAAAAACATAAAAATATTCATTTAAAAAGTTGGTTATTAATAAACTTGATTTTACAAAATACGAAATTTGTTATATTAAACCGAGGATATAAAATGCTTATATAAACCCATATATACTGATGTTACCATGGTATGATATTACAAGATAATGCACGTATTCCCATATATCCAATTAAAAATAGATCGAGCTGATTAAAAGTTTTCCGACACCCACGTGCAAAATCATGTTACTGGAACGAAATGGATAGCTATATAATATAATATTATTAAATTTCGCTGAAAAGGTTCAAACTCTCCACATGTTATTCTCAAATGCAGAATGTGCGTAGGAAACTTTATATTATTTCGCATAAAATATTTGTTTCCTCGCCTTCCGGGTATATGAATCATTATAATTTTATTCGTTGGTGTTTGTTATTGTTTGGCAGAATCGCAATTTAATTAATTTCAAACTGGAACACGTATATATTTGCGGTATAATATGGCTCGAGTTAACGTAGATATGTTAATAACAATGTGGTGAAGTGGATTCAATGAATCAAAACTAAATTGTTGATAGTATTATATTAAACTCGAGAATCCATACACAAACGTGTTTGAATAGCGATCATCTTTGTGAGGTTAGTACGCGGAATTATATAGAACCCTTAGCAAACGAGGCGAGTATGCATTGAAATTAATAATAAGGAAATATTGCGCCACGAAAATGCAATTAAACTTGTTGTTATACCATAATATCACAACTAAAATCTTAATAATACGTGATATCAAATTCCATGTTAATAGGAAGCAAATACAATTCAAATCGCAACTATATCGATAAACAAAACATAGGGACCGATTATGCCGCATAACAGACCAATGTTATGGTAAGGGCATGTTATGAAGCCATGTTAACTTTCCATACTACATATTGACAAAAGCCATGTGGTTACTGCACGTCATACGTTTTTCTCAGGTTATCAAATAGAAAACCTAACCTAGAAACTATACAAATGTCAAAAAACGATGATAGATAAAAAGGTCTTTCTGACTCAGCTTCATAACATACGAGTGACGTTGTAGTTTTTCTGTGTAAAACGTCTGAATGCACAGCAGATATATGACATTTTGACAGTATTCAGTATGATTCAGTAGCATAATGAATGGAAGTAGGAGCGTAAAATGGCCTGGCCATAACATTTGTCTGTTGTGCGGCAGAATCGGTCCCATATTCTTGTTCTTGGCATGACTATTGCAACCGATAAAGGGTTTTTGGCAGTTCGAATTTCACTAGATTTAATAGCCACCAAATTGATATAAGTTATTATTAAGAATGTTCAAATAGATAAATAAATGAAAATATCAACCTCATACAAAATAGGAATATCCTAGTTGATTAATATTGCAAAATTATAAGTTTATTATCACTATAATTTTTTCAATTTCTAAAAATTGATTTTTTCATTTGTTACATAGTAGGTCTTGTATTTTCCAAACATCAAATATAATTTGAAAGGTACATCCTGAATTTATCTTGTCATTATATTTAAAACTCAAAGAGATAAAGTTGGTTACCAGGAAATATACAATTTAACATTTGGTGAAGTATATTTAAAGTTAGAAAAGCGCAGAGCAGCAATTGAATATTTTCATATATTATTTCAATAATATTATTATCATTGGGAGAAAAACTTAACATAAAGTTAGAAAAGAAACAGCGTATCATTTGAAGATTTACTTTAAACCATTTGATTCATTTTCGTGAAAAAAATGCTATAAAATGATGTTAGGGTTAATTTGTTCAAACTGGATTTAATTTAGACAGATAATATATATTTTGATTATCTTACATTAGTTAAAGTAATCTAAACCCACATGCAAAAAAAAGTCCAAGAAAAATTAACCAATCATCAGTAAAATTGATATTTTATTATTATGGCTAGACCTGGCTTTGCCAGAAACTAATCAAAATTTTTCCCCATCATTACGAATTGAATGTTTTTTTGGATAATTTAAATCGGATACTCCGTCCTCTCAGAAACTCGATTTCTATTTTCTGCACTCTTTACTCTGTAATGACTGAACCTACCTTTGCCAAAAACTAATCAACACATCTCCCTATCAAAAGGAACCGAATGTTTTTGAACCATTCAAATCGGTTGATCCGCATGCCCGAAAACGTGGACAAAAAACTGCGGACACAAAATACAAACACACTATGGGCATTTTAAGAATTGCGAAAGTTCATCCAAAAATGCTTAATTTAGAAACACTGATTACAAAAAAAAATCACGCGAACATAGCGAAGAGTTGTATTACATTAATGCGAATATATAATAGTTTCTCTTAATTTCTCCATACTAAATTTTTGTTACGAAAAATTAGTCAAGTCTGGAAATTTAGTTACAAAATATGATACTAAACACATCTTAGTAATATCCTATCAAGATCAAACATTTTATCAAAAAGATTACTTAGTATAACAAAATTATACCCTTTATAAACTTTATATTAAAACATTTGCTCCAAAAATTTCCTATTTCCCCAAGCAAACGAAATCTCTCTTCTAACTCTTAGAGAAGAAAACTTGTTATGCTCGGTAAAGTTTCGGTATTTCCTAAAACATTCCACCTCACTCACCTGAACACGTAGCTTCCCGCTTTGGTGATGTATTTCTGCAGGCGCGCTTTGACTTCGTCGTATGTCAGGAACGCTACGTAACCCGGGTGCGTTACGGCCAGGATCTGCCAGTTGCGCAGCAGCGTGCCCCACGGTTGAAATAACCTGGGAAATAGAAAGATGACATAATAGATTTTATAAATATTGACTGTAGTTAGACGATGATAAAAAAAGAGTGCGCGTAAGGTTCACACGCGATTGAAGTAAAACTTTTTTGCTATTGTACAAGATGGATTTTAAGTAAAAATAAATAATACATCATATAACAATTTTGAATAATGTTCAATAGTAATATGGTAATACTCGTGATGCACACATTTATTAGTGTTAACCATTATACACATAATGATAAATGATAAATTATAAATTATGTATTTATAATAGCATTAAAAATATACTTCAAATATGACATGATCGGTTTGTCATTGTAATTAGCATTATGAAATGAACCTTCGTTAGAGAAATGAAGTAATTGCTGATTAATAAATTCCATAATATTCGTTCACACAGTGGATTATGTTAAACAACGCCTAAACAAATATCCTTTTCGCAACTTCACTCATCACGTAATTGTGTTTAACATAATTATAAATATATAGTCATAACTGTAGTTATGTCGAAAACATAACTATAAATATATAGTCAACCCGCCGATAACGCAGAGCGTAGATTGCGACGGTACTCCTGTAACACGGAGTTCAAAAGCTCATAAGTTCCTTTTCCGCACTACCTATATAGATGGAATTTCAAATGTTTTCACATAGATTATTATAAATGAGATAACTTTCATTATTGGAATAAAATTAAAGACATAAACACAATGAACTATTTATCTAATATATGTATAGATTATTGAAGTAAAACTTCTTTAGGCGCGACTAGGGTATAAATCCGTACAAATGCAATGGAAGTCTACTACGTCCGAACTGTTCGTCATTCGCTCTCGATGAGATCATTTCTATACGGGTCGATTGTGATTAGTCGTCGTGTCGCGTGAAATCGTACCGGCATCAACGTTGTATGAGTACCGATATTAACAAACAAAATCGGTACAGATAAACATTTTAAAGTTCCGTCGTAGTACAAATCTTGATTTAATGAAAAACGCCTGAATCTGAAGAATATTTTACCCTATCCCCCGCCGTAAATAATTATAATGAAAATAGTAATAACAAATGCAGCATTTGCGCCGTGTATGAAACATAAGTTTATTGAAATAATTTCTATATTATTCGTAATTTTTATAACTCTTTGAAGTTATTAAAATGGAAAATATTTATTAGGCAAGATAGATACTACAGTGGCGGACATAGCTCATGGGTAGCATGTCCGACTTCCTAATAAAATAATGAACTGTAATAACGAATTTGTATATGATAATATAGAATTGTAATTGAATAAGTCAGTGTGTATGAAAAAAAAACAGTATCAAGCTAAAAAATTCGTCATAATTAGAAGAAGACGCAGTAGCATTAGTAGAAAAATGAAGAAGATGGATTTAGAAGAAAGAAGAATGAGTAAAAAATTAACATAATGTATAACGAATTAATAGAAGAAATATTTGAAGTAAATAATGTCTTGAGTTATAATTTGAAATGTTGAGTTAAAATTAATTAGAATTAGAAGTACAGCTGTTCAAAGAATGAGATTATATCGCCAGCAAAAAAGTAAAAAAAATACAAGCAGTCAATGAATGTATGTTAATTTTAATTACATGAAGTTAATCAAACACAATTACATGATGAGTGAAGTTGCGAAAACAATATTTGTTTCGGCGTTGTTTAACATAATCCACAAAATGAGCAAATATTATAGAATTTATTAATCAGCAATTACTTCATTTCTCTAATGAACGTTCATTTCTAAATGTTAATTACAATGACAAACCGATCATGTCATATTTGAAGTACGACTTTAATTACATTATTGTTTTTAAATATTATACATATTTTTAATGATATTATAAATATATAATTTATAATTTATCATTATATAAATGTGTATAGGGATTGAAGACACTAATAAATGTGTGTATCACGAGTGTTACCATATTACTAATAAACATGTAAAATTGTTATATGATGTATTTATTTTTACTTAACTTAAATTTGCTAATTTGTACAGTAGCAAATAAGTTTAACTTCAATCACGTGTGAACTTTACCCATATACAAAATATGAGAGCTTATAAATTGAACGTCAATGACTATTATACATCAAGCGGAGTTAGAATGAAAGACAATGTCTAATATTTATAATTATATAAACTGAATTGCAAATTTAAAATTATTTCAAATATAAAAACGAGCTTTTCAGAGGTAGCATGTTCTACTCACATGCCAGAGATCGTTGGTACGATTCCTGGCGCTTCCAAATGTAATGGAAAATATCAGAAAGTATAAGAATGTCAATTGTAATTAAAAGTAGGTTAAGAATTGATAATTTGTACAATACAAGAAAAAATTGTATTAGAAGTAAGAAGGAAAAAAAAGTTTAGAAGATGAGAAGAACATATTGAGAAACAAGAAGAATGAAAATTGAATGGAATTGAAGAAAAAAAAATTGAATGGAAGATTAGGATATAAGTAAAGATAGTATATATATATATGATGAATGTATAAGAAATATATATGTAATAATTATATTGAATATGATAAAAAATAATATGAATAATGTAGGTGGAAAATAGTGGTCTGAATTCGCAGAAACTTAAATGGTTGAACTATTCTAATCGGACGCACCGTTCTCTCAGAAGCTGAATTACCATTTTTGGTTCTTTTTGCCTCGTATTTTCGAAAAAGCTAGACCTATCTTTGCCAAAAACTAATCAGCACGTCTCCTTATCACACACAGACATACCTACACACCCATATACATCAATTTTTTCTAAGGTATGCCAAATTATTCAGAGACCTATGAAGCGTGAACGTATGCAAAAATTTTCATTTTTGATTTTTGGACGAATACACGGAACTCACCCTACAGAAAGATAATAAAAATTCCATCAAATACCTGATGATTATTATAATAAAATTGCTCAAAATCACAAATGCTAGTATACTTCAAAGTAAACTTTTGAAGGCGCGATACACGTTTGAACTGACTACTTAAACATAACTGCGACAATGACGCTCAACATCTGACAGGATTGTGATTATAGCTTTCTTCGTGTTGCGGAAACGTTACTAAAACTTTAAATAATGCCACTGTGTCATTTTGTCCAATTGTAGCATTTTGTTCGGATCTCCCCTGTTTGTTCTTTTTTCTCGTAGGGTTTCAGAATGCAGAATACAATTATTTCGAATAGCAACCAGGCAATATCTTGCTTGCTTTCAATTACGTGATGTTAGAAAGTGCTCTTGATATAATTGGCGTTCGTTTAGAAATATTACATTAAAAGTAAATACGTTGAAAATACATTAAAAAGCTCTTACACGATCCGTCATCCATAAGTAATACTTGATATGAAGGTATTTTTTTTTATCTATAATGTTTCAAGTTAGCAATTATTTTTAGTGCAAAGTTATAAAATAATATTCACATAGCAATAATTTATTTTTTGTGATGGTGTCTTGTAATAATTTGGGAAAACAAAACGCGAATTAATAATAATGTAACATGATTTTAGATATAGGAAATTTATTCGCAATCAGTTTTTACGAACAAAATTTTTAATCCAATTCCCCTATGATCATATGATGTTGCTTATTATGGTAAAGTTTAAGCTATAGAAACATTAATGTGTAATAATTTTATATCTTTATATAAATCCCCGTTTTTTGGGTGCACGGATTAGCCGATTAGATCGATCGGTTATAGAGATGATCTCATCGAGAGCGAATGACGAACAGTTCGGCCGTAACAGACTTCCGTTGCATTTGTACGGATTTACACCTTAGTTGCGCCTAAAGAAGTTTTACTTCAATAATATTTAAAAATATAGATACAGATTTAGTTAAGTGAATTGCAATTATGAACATATTTTCTGAATGTGTTTAAGAAGTTTGTCAAGTTTATGACTATAAACGGTAAAATATTGAGCTTGATATGCATACAGAATTATAGCTAGGAACATTAAATTTGTACAGGAAACAATGTGAAAACTGTCAGGCATTCGTGTAATTTAAAGCTTACATTAAGGCTATGTGGTGTTGGGTAGAATATTTTACGTGTATATTCAAATGTGCGGGAAACATGGTGTACTATGTACCATTTAGTGAAGAAAAAGTCGCAAAATATTTAAATTTATTAAATAAATTTACTTTATTTTCACTTTGCAATTCAGTTTATTTAATCTTTAGAAATGTAAGGCAAAACCATTCATTCATTACATTTGAAATATCACAATATATTTGAAAACATTCGTTATTCTTCGGATATTTCATTACGTTACGGAAAGTTCCAGCAATTTGCCTTAATTTTTACACCACTGTAGATTTTTCGAAAACCCCAAAAAAAATTTTTTAGGCCTAAAATTTACTTTAAACATTTTAGAATATGAGGAAATATATTTCATATCTAAAACTTTCTTTTTTACATTTGAATCATTCAAATCGGATGCTTAGTTCTCTCAAAAACTCATTTTTTGCACAATTAGCTCGGGATGCCCAAAATGGCTGGATCTGCCTTTGCTAAAAACTAAACAGAACTTCTCCCAATCATTACAAATTGAATGTTTTTTAGATCATTCAAATCGGATACTCCGTTCTCTCAAAACCTACATTTCTATTTTCTGCACTCTTTGCTCCGTGTCTCCATAACGGCTGGACGTGCCTTTGCCAAAAACTAATCAGCACATCTACCTATCAATAGGAATCGAATGTTTTTTGAACCTTTTAAATCGGTTGATCCGTGCGCCCGAAAATGTGAACAAAAAAATGCGGACACACAAAACACGTACACACACACATCCATTTTTCTGAGGTATGCCAAAATGTTCAGAAACCTTCAAAACGTCGAGAGATGCAAAAAATTTCAATTTCGATTTTTGGACGATTACAATAACTTACTCTACGAGAAGTTAAAAAAAATCTAATAGTATCATAGTATCGTGTCGAGACATTTTTTTTATCAAATAATTCTTACAACTGTCCCGAAACGGACAAGTGAAATATTTGATAATAAACTGAAAGTGCATATAACTTCCAAAATTAAATATTACAAATTATACTGCAGAATTTCTGTCGTACTTTCTTAATTGACTTTTTAATAAATTGACTAGCAAGTAAGATGCATATTGAAATGTGAAAATTAGACTTACATTTGCCACTTTTCTACATCTGGATCACTACGAAGCCATAACACAACACTTATTTCAACACTAACCAACAAAGCAAAACGTGCACTATTACAAAATGTACTTAATAACTTTTTTAGTTAATTTCTCACTCATCAACCTGGATCAATAATAAACTTTACACGAACATTAATTCAATAGTTTTTAATTATTGAAACCCACAATCGCCACGTTAGAACAACAACCGAACGCCACGCAAGTTATAGTGGTAATGGCGCCATGACACAATACTTACCAACAAAGTAAAATATAATAAACAATCACTAATTCACTAGTTTTTAATTATTGAAACATTACATAATGTGGCGCCATTACCACTTAGTTGTTCCTTAGTTGATACTGATTAAAAAACTATACACGGCCTTAAGTTAGAAGAAATTTGGCGCGAAAATTAATAAATCATAAAACATGATGTAGATGGCGCTACAAAAATTATAAGAGCATTCATAATATCAACAACAGATGGCGAAGACAAATTAGGATTTATCTATTTATAAGTAGCATCGTTTATACGTCAAATTATTTCTAGGAATTAAATACTTTTCTAAATTATAATCAATATTATGGTAATTATATAATGACAAATTATAAATGTTATTGTATTGTGTTCTAAGTTAAACAGTTTATGAAACATATAAAAATAGGGTATTAAATAGCACCGGCTCAAATAACATTTTTAAAGAATTAAAAATTAAACCTACCAAACGCCGGTCAAAATTACCGTTTCAAACTTTGTACATAACTTAAGGCTCGATACTATACGCCACTACTTTGTGTTCACTTTCGGACAAAATGACATATCTATATAATGGACAAATGACAGTAATATAATATTTCGTGAACTACAGGATGGTCAAGAAAAAATATAATTGAAACCTGTCAAAGGAGATTGGCTTGTAACTTCTTGCATAACTACTTCTAAAAACAGACCAAAGGATCATCATCTGGTAAAAAGAAAAGACTTACTTTGTTGCAAAAACCTCTGTTCCAGTTCGGTGCCCGATGAAGGTTGATTACTAAGTATGATTTGTTCCTTTTGGAATCAAACGTCATGTGCAGATAATCCAAAGAGGACCAACCAAACGATTTATTTGTCTTACTAAAAATTAGTATCTGGGTATGCCCCTTACCTTATATGTTATTTTGTCAATACAATATGAACAGAATGGTTTTTGTAAGTAGTTGCATTTTTTCTTAATAGAGTCCAGTCATTTAAGCTTAAATTAGGTAAGAATCTCAGAATTAGGAATACCCAGCTGTAAGTCTGTAAATACTTGTATTTTGCACCCTAAAAGCTGTCTCAAAAGCTACATATGATAGGGTGTGCGCAACATATGTAGCTTTTGAGACAACTTTTAAGGTACAAAATACGAATTCCGAGGTGAACTTACTGTAATGACTGGACTGTTATAGTACCAAATTCATTAAAAGACTATTTTACTGGTAATAAAATGAGTAAAAACGATTGAGGCTGATTATAATATCCTTAAATAGATAATAATCATTAACAGACAAAACACCATGTCATTTTGTCCGTACTTTCCCTATATGAAGATCTGGATAATATACTTTTCCTTGGACACGGCAAAATAATATTGTAGAAGAGTTTTTCTTAGAAACCAATAATTTTTTGCAAAGTAATTTAAAATGATTCTTTCGCTTCGTACAATATTAGTTATGATTATTATTACACAATTTCCACTGAATATAGCAAATTTAAATTGCAAAACAAAGTTAAGTCAAAAGTTTTAACTTTCCGTAGTGTAGGTTATAGTTTCGGGCCAAAAATCAAACATGAATTTTTTTTCATATCTTCACGTTTCAGAGGTTTCTGAACATTTTGGCATACCTGGATGTGTGTGTATGGGTGTATATAGTATATATGTATGTATGAATACAATTTTTCGTCGACGTTTTTGGGAGCACCAGTAGATTGATTTGAATTATTCAAAAACCATTCGATTCCTATTGATAAGAAGACGTGGTGATCAGTTTTCGGCAGAAGTTGGTCCAGCCGTTTCGGAGATACGAAATAAAGAGTGCAAGAAATAGAAATGGAGTGTTTGAGCATCCGATTTGAATGATTCAATAAACATTCAATTCGATATGATGAGGAGAAGTGGTGATGGAGTGAAGTTTTTGGCAAATGCAGATCCAGCAATTTTGTAGATACGGAGCTCAATGTGCAAAAATAGCAATTTTTGAGAGAACTAAGCATCCGATTTGAATGATTCAAAAAACTTTCTGCTTGTGTTGACTTTCAAAATTCTAATTTTTTTTTGTATATCGAAAATAATTCAGATTATAATGTCAGGATCTTTCAGTGCCAGAAAACTTTTTTATTTTTTTTTTATTTAGTTACAATTCTAATTTTTATATCATTTTCAATCTATTTTATGTATCCTATTCTATATTCTTCTTAATTTTTCTTCTTCTTCTTATTTTCTTCAATTCTTGTTCTTTTTTTCAAATTTCTAATTCTATTTAACTTTCAGCTTCATACCATTTTTTTTCCTTCATTCTTCTTTCAAGTTCCAATATTCCTCTTCTTACTCCTAAATCAATTCAACTGTTCGAATTCTGTTATACCTATTTTTCTTAATTTTTATTCAAATTCTGCTTAACAAATACAATTTTTATTTGATTTCCAATTAACTACACATATTATTTTTTCATAAATTCTATGTCATTGACAGGATTTGATCCGAAGACCCCTGTCGTGTGAATCGAACACGCTACCAAAAAACTATACTTGCCACTTTAATTATTATTAAATTAATTGCTGGACCACTTTAATTATTATCCCAAAATATTTTTGTCTAAATTGAAACTACCCCCATGGCAAAGAGACATTACACCCATATGGAAACTGCATAGCAATAACGGTAAATGACAATTAAAAATACATACTTTATACCTGCAAAAATTTCATTTTACCCCAATTGGGGTAATTTACCCCATTTGGGGTTTTTCGAACACTACTCTAAAGTTCTAAAACTCACTTATATAATTCAAAAAAAAAAAAATTAACTTTGTAATTCAGTTTATATAATTCTTATTAATATTAGACAAAGTCTTTCATTTTAAACCCTATTGATTAAATTTTGTTAATTTACTTTTCTGTAATACACATATCCAATTTAAAAGCTCCAATATTTTGTCTCTAAAATACGCATAATGAAAGTTACAGTATTAATAATAATCTATTTGAAAGAATTTAATATTCCTCGAATATTTCGTTACGGTACGGGAAGTTCCAGCAATTTGCTTCCAGACACTACCATGCACCACTAGTTATAAATAACGTTTTTGGTATGATGAATCAATATTGGCACATACAGATACACACACATAAGCAATCATCATATCATCATAAGCAATTTCACAAGTTTTTCCATTATATTTAAACGCTTTTCGAAATTATTTTCTACGGTTGTATATATAAAATTTACCTCGTAAAGACGTCGAATTCGAAATTGGAAATAAAGTCGTTACAAGTGAGATCTATCGTGGATTTGAGCGCGAGTGCTTCTAATCCGGACGATATAGGGTGGACAGCGTGAAGCTCTTGTCGAAACAGTTTCCATGGGACCAGAGTGCTGAAAAGTAGAAAAATAATCGTATTATTACATTTGTACTCCTTATATTTCATATGAGTAATAACATTTATAGGAAATACCTTTTCTAATTTAGAAAGCAGACATGTAGTTATACAGAAAACCTAGCTTTTCGTATATTTTCATTGAAATGACATTGCTAGTTAATATCATTCAAAATTTGAATCTGTTATTTGTTGATATCATCATTAGAAATTACAAATATTATATTTATATCTATATATTAATTTATTATAAGAACAACAATAATTCCTAAATTTTCTAATTTTCATAACCTAACTTTCATACACTTACAATGATTTACAATTTTTGATGTAAAACTTCTTTAGGGCGCCACTAGGGTGTAAATCCGTACAAATGCAACGGAAGTCCGTTACGCCCGAACTGTTCGTCATTCGCTCTCGGTGAGTACATTTCTATACAGGTCGACTGTGATTGGTCGTCGTGTATGTAAATAGAGATCTGTCGAAGTATACGTACCGATATCAACATGGGAATCGGCATAGATAAATAAACATTTTAAAGTTACATCGTAGTACGAATCTTGATTTAATGAAAAATGCCTGAATCAGAAGAATATTTTACCCTGTTCCTTGAAAGTAATAAAAAAAAAATTGAACGTTTGTGCCATGTACTAAACGTAAGTTTATTGATTAGAAATTATTCCTATATTATTCGTAGTTTCTATAAATCTTTGAAGTTATTAAAATGGAAAATATTTTTTAGGTAAGACAGATATTACAGCTGTTCAAACAATGAGATTATATCGCCAGCTAAAAAATAAAAAAATACAAGCAGTCAATGAATGTATGTTAATTTTAATCACATGAAGTTCTTCAAACACAATTACATGATGAGTGAAGTTGCATAAACAATATTTGTTTAGATGTTGTTTAACATAATCCGCTGTGTGAACGAATATTATAGAATTTATTAATCAGCAATTACTTCATTTCTCTAATGAAGGTTCCATTTCTAAATGCTAATTCCAATGAAAAACCGATTATGTCATATTTGAAGTATGACTTTAATTATATTATTGTTTTTAAATATTATACATATTTTTAATGCTATTATAAATATATAATTTATAATTTATCATTATATAAATGTGTATAATAGTTGACACTATTAAATGTGTGCATCACGAGTGTTACCGTATTACTAATAAACAATATTTAAAATTGTTATATGATGTATTTATTTTTACTTAAATGCCATCTTGTACAGTAGCAAATAAGTTTTACAATCGCATGCGAACATTACGCGCTCTTTTTTTTTAAAGCAAACCGTTTCCTATATAATAATGTTTAAAGCAATTGTTATTAATGGTAGATCAATATTTATTGATTGCCGATTTTTTTCTCGAATACTGAATTCTGGTATGGGAACTTCCAGCAATTTGCCTTAAGGCACGATGCCATGCACCACTAGTTTCCATTTTTAATTAGAAACAATTCCCCAAGAATCAGAAGTGAAACATTTGTACTTGCAATATATTAACTTCCCGTAGGGAAAGTTATTGTAATGGGTCGAAAATCGAAATTGAAAATATTTACATTTATCGACGTTTTGAAGGTTTCTGAACATTTTTGCATACCTCAGAAAAAATGTGTGTGTGTGTGTGTATGTATGGATACAATTTTTCGGTCACGTTTATTTTTAAAAAAACAATTTTTTTGTATATCGAAAATAATTCAGATTTAATTTTTAATTCTGGCTATAGTTTTAATATACTTTAAACAAATAATTTCAACTTTGCAATTCAGTTTATATAATTCTTATAAATATTAGACAATGTTACAATATTTATAATAATCTATTTGAAAACATTCAGTATTCCTTGAACATTTCGTTACGGTACGGGAAGTTCCAGCAATTTGCCTTAAGACACGACGCCATACACCCCACTAGTTTATTATGGATGTAGTGAATCAATGTAAAAGAATTAGTTATTCTTGTTTGAAAATTATTTGAGTAGAAAATGTTGACTTTCCGAGCTATAATTACCTGTGAATACCTTATTTTCTCTGTTTTTATATATTTTAAAAGAGTTTGTTACAAATAACGTCGTTTTTTATAATTTAATTCATGATTCATAATTTACAAAACGCCTTCGCTCTTTGCCACCATTATAATTAACCGCGCGGCACGAACTCCGCCCTCACATTTTCCTTAATGGGGAAATTTACCTTGACGATATTTTCAGGAAAACTACGCCTTTGTTTTCGAAATAACTTTATATACGTATCATTACAGTTTTACGCACAATTTCCTTGGAAAAGCAATTTCCTAATATGAAGCCAAGTGATAACGCTTTATTATAGTTCTCAGATATATAAGAACTATTTTATAGATATTTTTATATGCAATCAACTTTTATTCATCAATAATATTTATTGTTAGTTTATTTAAGTTATAGTAATCGCAAAAAAATCGAAAATGAAAATTTTTATATATCTTTACTTTTCAGAGGTTTCTGAATATTTTAGCATACCTTAGAAAAAAAATGGATGTATGTGTGTGTGTGTGCGTGTGTGTATGTGTGTTCGGATACAAATTTTCGTCGACGATTTCGGGAACACGGATGAAGCGATTCGAATAATTAAAAAAACATTCGATTCGTATTGATGAGGAGACGTGCTGATTAGTTTTTGGTGAAGGCAGGTCTAGCCGTTCCGGAGATATGGGACAAAAAGCGCCAAAAAACGGTAACTCAGTTTTTAAGAGAACAGAGCGAATAATTCAAAAAACATTTTACTTGTATTAACAAAATGAAGAACTGATCAAATTTTCATGTAGGCAGGTCTAGCGGTTTCGGAGATCTAGTAAAAAAAGTAAAAAAAATGATATCTGGAGGTCAAAAATGATCATTAGATATACGCACATCAAATTATTCACAAAAAACGATTTTTTTGGGAAGGCAATAAATATTTAGTTGAAACGTAACATTCAGGTTTCATTGTTATATATTTCAACATTTTTCTCAAATACTATCCATTATTAATAAAATAATGTATTTTCATTTTCAATGGCAAATAAAAACTGCTAAAATTAATCACGAAAAATATCGATAACAAGCATAATTACAAAATTTGATTCTTCTTTTTTCGACCATTATTTGGATGAAGAACTGAGAACCCATTAAACAGTAAAAAATAGAGTAATATTCCTGATGAAGAACACCATTGAGCAGTAAACAAATTAATATTTATAATTTATAAATAATAAATATCTGAAAAAATAAAATTCGCAGAAAATCTTTTTCTAATTATATTCACGAAAATAATTAAACATTCACAAAAGCAGCAGTACAAAGATCGGTTCTTGTAAAAGCTCTCTGAAGTTCATGCATCTAGTAATTGAAACATTATTCAAATTGGCTCCTCATACATATTCTGCGCTTCTCTGGATTAAAACATGAATCCACATACATGCATAAATTGTGTAAATTGTTATCCCAACAATAATTGAGAAATCAGTAGCAAACAAATTTAATAAACTCATTATTTTGTACTAACATAAAATGGCATATAAATCGTTCAAATAAATACTCTAGGGCCACTTTGTATGGAAACACGCCGATACAATTTTTGAAATTGCTGTAGCTGTAAAAACAAAAGGTCAAATTTTGTCACACACATCTGATAAAGTAATCAGAATTTGTATTAAAACGATTCAGAACGACTTAAGGGGGTTGTTCGTTTTTTTTTTACAAAAAATGCAAGGTATTTGTTTTTGTTTTTCTCGAAATGTATTTATCATAGACATGCAGTTTTTTTAAAACAAAAATTACAAAATCATAGAATATTATGATTTTTTTTTTGTGCCGTCATTTTTTAACCAGGGGGTGCCAAAGTCGGCCTTGCAAAATCGATCTCTTTTGCGGTGCCACAGATAAATCCGTTGCGCATCGCCCGAAACAAAAAAAGAAACTACGTTGAAGAAGAAGTTTGAATCCAGTCCCCCTACCAAAATGAAAGAACAAAAGCAAGAAAGAAAAAAATGGCAGCTATTTAAAAAAAAAGTGTTAAAAAAGGCCTTTTTTGGGGCGAAGAGCTTCGCAATTTTTTTTGCGTAATGTTATCAAGTTGTTTGAGGTAGGGTAACTAGGTATTGCAGTGGTGAACAAATTAAAAAAAAATGCAAGTCGATCCGACAATTTGAGAAAAACGTATTTAAAGTTTTTTATATAATGTACTAAATACACCATTTAATTTAATGTACTAAATATACCATGGTGTTCAAAGATGCTGACACATTCAAAATGTCATGTGCATGATGTAATATAATGAAAAAGAGAGCAGTTGGCATACAATAGCTCGCGGAGCGATGAAAAAAAACGGTTTCAAAGGATCATATATATAGAGATATATATATATCTATAACTTCGCCAACAAAATAGATATTGATATGATTTTTTTAAAATAATTCTAAGGTTTTCAGCTTTCCTAATATCAAAAAATCTCAAAACCGAAAAAAAATAAAAACCGAACAACCCCCTTAAAGCTTCGAGGAAACATAAAATTGGCAAATAGCATCCTGTGGGAAAAACGAGCTTCTCATTCGGAAAGTTAATAGTTCGAAAAATTTACAATAACGATGAAGTTGAAATGTTCAGACCAAAATAGTTATTAGCATTTTTAAAATTTTGCAAAACTACAATCTTTAAGACTTCAAAAAAAATATCTTACCCTCAAGGTTTAGGTTAATGAAATTCTAGATGAGGTCTGAAGCTTTAGGGTATTCATGCGTTAACATATTGTCATGATAGAGCCATGTCCTTGCCGATGTCGTCCCTGAATTGCGTAACTTATACGCAGATATGCAAATTGAGTTGTCAAAAGTCGTTAACGGGGCCTCCTTCATCCTTATGCCATTTAGACTCGGTAATTTGTTAATTTTCAGTAGATTCGAGTGTATTATATAGTACGTCGGTGTCAAAAGGTGAGGGTAGATCGCAATCAAGATAAAATTAAATGAACTACTTTTAATATAATAGTTTTAGAGTTAGAAATTTAATTCTATAGATAAAAATAACTGAAAACATTCTCAATAACATTTACTTTCATTATCAAGAATATAACTAGAAGTGTGGCAAGGACGGTAAAATGAAAGCATCCACCGGTGTTATCATTGATATTTTTTAAACAAAGTGTGACGAAGAAAAATTATTATGTTAGACTCACTAAAACTCAAAAACGGCTGAACCGATTTGGCCAACTTTGGTCGTCCAGAGAAGTTCCGAAAGGTGAAATTTCACTTATTTCGGGTTAAAACAGACAGCAGTTTAAAGAAAAAGGTTTTGATTTCCTCGGCAAACAAGACACACTTCTGTGTACTAATGTGTACACAAAATTATAAGATCTTGTGGAACAAAAATATTTTGAGAATTGGTTGTAAAGCTGCAATTACATCAAGTATCACCAATGCAGATTTAAGATCAATGCCAATATACATGTGGAAGTAATTATTACAAATAAGTATTTAATTTATTTCAGTAAGGTTAGAAAGTTTTGCTCATTAGATATTAATAATTATATTCACTTATAAAAATTATGAAATTTGAGCTTTCGCTTTACTATTCTTGTTTTTGCTTATAGTCAGAAATATTTTAAAAGCATATTAATGCATATGAAAATTAATAATGTATATAAGAATAAACACGATGTCATATATGTACAGATAATCATTATCTCTATTAGACAATATGAGAAAGTCAAAACCATGGGATAT